ACCGCCACGCCTGGCTCAAAATATTCTTCTGTATGTGATAAATTTTGGTGTTTTTGTGTTTTCTTCTGATTTCACTTTTTAAAAAATATTCTTCTTGACCTATTGGATCAATTTCACAATCTTCCAATGGATCAGCAGATGGATATGTAAGAAGTCACTACTCAAGTAGAATGGAAAATCACTAGTGAAATCTGTAGGTACTTGGGCTGTGTGTTAAACAGAGTGAAAAGGCTGGGAGGGGAAACCAGCTGGAAGACTGAGGTGGTTTCGATTAGAACTAACTCAACTTTGGAATAACCTAGAGGCTGAGAGTTACTGTCTCTGGTAGGATGGATGGTGAGAAAAGGAGTGAATTCTAGAAATATGTAGAGATAAAATCTACAGAATTTGCTTATTAATCTGTAGACAGCTGGAATCTAAAATCCCGAGAGGAGGTAAATATTGGAAAGCAAATTAAACTTCGGAGTAGAAATTATCACCTGGTAAGCCCGGTCGGAGTGCTGGCTCTGGGCCACGGCCCTCTGGATTTGCTTGCCTGCCTGTTGTCAGGAGTAGGAGAAAAGTCCATAAACAATGGAAAAAGAGCCTATTCATGCTGTGGGCAGCTTGGAAGGGCAGATAGTCCATGCCTTCGGAGCTCACAGAAGCACTCAATTTATAGAAGGTGGAACGAAGTCCAGGAAATGTGCACATGGGAATTCAGTGAAGCTCTGGCCCACCAGAGAGACCCAGGAAATGTCGAGTGCTCCTTGGTACCAGGGCTGGGTTGTAACACTTTCTGCTCTCTCCCTGAGGAAGCTGGAGAATAGTTTATCTTTTTAAAAAACAGAAGTTCTGACTTTTAAAGATTTATTTGAACATCTTGGTTACAAAATGTCATTATGAAGGGGAAAAGTCATAATCATAATTTGTTTTGTGGGGCTGGTTTACCTTACACAAAGGATATAAAATGTTTTCTCTGTTTTAAAAAGAAATCTCCTTTGCATTTCCAAAAGGTTTCTGAGATTTCATTCTTTTTTTTTTCTTTTTTCTTTTTGTACCAGAAATTGAACTCAGGACCTTGAGCTTGCCAGGCAGGCACTTATGCCACTGAGCTATATCCCTGACACCTGAGAGTTCATTCTTAAGTTGTAATTAGAATAGTTCTCTATAATATATTTAGGGTTATCTAGAAGGGTCAAGAGGCCTAGTAGGCTTATTTCCATCATAGCATCTTCTTTTGCCGGCTGTCACCAGTGTTTCTCTTCCCTGTTAGCCAAATGAGGCTCAACTGAGGGACAACACACTGAATCCTTAGCAGGTGGAGCTGCTGTTGGACTCCAGGTTTTCAGCGCTGTATAATTTTGAGATTTTTATCAGTCAGGCTTTCTGTAGTATGGCTTTTGCAGGGTACATTCTGCGGCCACACTTCATGAAAGCATGACATTTCCTACATATTATACAAAGTATTCTTCAGAGGCTATATGGGGTATAATGATGAGTTGAAATAACAGCCTCTTCGCGTTACTTGCAGTAGAATGCAGAGTAACATAAGGCAGTTCAGTGTGAGCTTTAAGAGCAGTACATAGTGTAAAGACTGCAAGAAGTAAATCAGACACTTAGTGAAGTTACAGTATCTAGAAATCCATATCAATAAAGTGACATTTAACTAAATTGTATTTTTCATTTTAATGTTACTTCAGTGTATACAAATGAGTAAAATAATAATATCTAAGTGACTTTGCTTTTATTTTATTTTTCTTTTTTTGTCTTTTTGGGACAAGATCTCCTTAGCAGTTCAGGCTGGCCTTGAGCTCACTTTGTAGCCCAGGCCGGTCTCAAACTCGCAACAATCCTCCTGCCTCAGCCTCCCAAGTGCTAGGATTACAGGCATGCTCCACCATGCCTGGCCTTATACTTTTATACACCTAAAAATTTAAAATTTTATCAAAGACTTTAAAATATATAAAACATTAAAAAAACAAGATTCGTAAAATTTAATGGACAACATTAATATGATAGTGATATGTTGTTGAAACAAGAGCCTTGTTTATACTATAACTTTATATAGTGTTTTAAAGTGAGGGCCTGGGGGCCAGGCAGCTTGAGTTTGAATCCTGGATTTGCTATTTCCATTCTGTGTGCCCATGGACAAGTTGCATAGCTGTCTATACTTTTGTTTTACTACTTTAAAGTGGGAATTCTTAACTTTAAGGATTATTCTAAATGAGGTAATATATGTAGAATGAATAAACAATTCCAGACATGAAAATACTGTGCATATGAAATATTTCCTGGGATTATTACTGACCACTGTGGTAAAGAGTAATTAAGCTCAGTGTTCTACCATAAATACCATGGAATGACCCACTTAGCCCACTTACATTCATATTACCGTAAAACTTGGGCACTGATGACTGATATGGAGCTGTGACATCATTTGGCATTTGCTGAAGTGGAATTGAGTTGGAAACTATTAATTTGAGAGTCGATATTCTGTAATGTAAGAGTATTGATAGATACGTTCACCAAAGACATTAACAGGAGATGGAGGAACGTCACAAACCTCCTGGAAAAGAACAGTTATGACAAAGAAGATGAGAGGGTTAAGTGACTGCACCATTAGCATGTTTGTATGCTTCTCACAGGAACTACCTATTTCTTTACAATGAGAAATACACTAAGACACAGGCTAGATAACATAAGTGAACATTCCCATGACAGTCAGTAATTTCACAGCTACTCTTTCTTCTAGGAGTTAATTAGGAAATTGAGCCATTGAGTAGTCATTGTGAAGTTCCTCCCCTACAGCAAAGCTACAAAAAACCCAGGCGTAGTCAGAAGGTGGCTTGGTAGCATGAAGTTCAAAGTCTGTCAGCTAGAAAATCCAGTGTTAGTTTCTGTGCTATAGACAGCAGGACTGGTCCTTTTCATGACCAACCTTGAAAGAGAAATAGAAATTTGAAAAGGACAGTGGCATTTGGGTGATGGACATGGCTTGAACACAGAGACAAATGTAAGAACATAGTGTAGGTTTCCACTTTAGTGAGCTGTGTGACATAGAGTATTTGTTAGGTGAAAGGGAGCAGTGAGAAATTTAACTGAAAAGGTAGAGGTCTTTACATACCAGTGTGGGAAGTCAAGCCGTACACTCCTTCTTTATTCTCCATGGACATGGAGAGACATGGATAGACTTGTACTATTGCTCTGGAGGCATGGTGTTGGGATAAGTTAGAATAAGCGGACCCAGTGTAAGGTCAGTATAAAGAAGGCAATTACAGTAGTTTAGTAAGAATATCTAAAAGACTGTATTCTTAGTATCTAAAGTAGAGGCAGTAGGAAAGAAGATAGCATATGAGAGATGTTGTGGTTTTAAGACTAGTATTTTGCACTATATTATATGTGAAGAGTATGCAGAGTTTAAAATATCAAAATTTGGGGCTGGGGATTTAGCTCAGCGGCAAAAGCGCCTGCCTGGCATGCGCAAGGTCGTGAGTTCGGTTCCCGGTACCGGAGAAAAACAACAACAAAAAAAAAAAAAAAACAAAATTTAAGTCTAAAGCAATGGCACTAGAAATAAAAAGAAAGTCAGGCTATTCTGGTTATGTGAGAATTGTTCAGAGGTTTTGGCTATGTTGAATTAGGGTCTAGTGGCATATCCAAATACAGAGCTGCAGCTGAAGTTAGCAAATCTCAGGAGTTTGGTGAGGATAAAGAGGAAAGCTAATAAGTGAATAGGAAATGCAAAAAGTGTAAGCTGTGGTCATGGTTTGTTTTTTTTTTTTTTGAGATGTTGGAACTGAAACACATCCGATATTGAAATCTAAGTTTATGTCAGCCAGTTGGTAACTAACGTGAAATGAAGCTGGAAACTATCAATTTCAGAATAGGTGCTCTATAAGGTCAGAGTGTTGAGAGATGAATTCACCAAAGACCTTAGTGGGAGGTAGAGGGGACATTATGAACCTCCTGGAAAAGGACAGTTATGAGAAGGAGGATGAGAGGGTGGAGTTTCACCTGAGCAGAGGATACTTGGTGAATCAGGGCGGAGGAATAATAGTGTAAAAGGAACAGGGGAAGGCAAGGGTACTTTCCATTATTTAAAAACTCTGGCCCTAGTTCCTATACTTACTGGTCCCCTAAGTCCATTCCTTCAGTGAAAACAATATAAAAATAGTATCTCCCCACAGATTATTGTGAGGATTAAATGAGATAGTGTATGTAAAACACAGAGCTTATCAAAATAGATGTACGAAATATTCTTACTGCTGTTGGTGTTGATATCATTAACACAAGTAAAAGATCTGTAGTCCTGCACCAAGTGGGCTGTGCTGTGGTATACAAAGTTACCACTTGTGGCAGGGCCGCTTGTAATGCCAAAAAGGGTAATTATTTCATGTCTCTCACTTCTAAGTGGAAGGAGTGACCTACTTCCAATGCTTTTTTAAAGCTTTGTGTCATCACAGGCAAATGAGTTTTAGTAAATTTGAAGAGAATAGGGGTAGCCATAGAATTATGAGGAATTGTTCAAAGTAGAATAAGCCCAACAGAATGGACTGGTATTGACTTACACTGTATCAAAGTAGATTGTGGGAGAGTTTCACAGAACTGTTTGCAGAGTTGAAGCGGTCAGTGCCAGGACTCAGAATGTAAAGGATGGGGTGGTCACTTGGAAGACATACGGATATAATAACAGAATTCCAACTGTTACACAGGCATCGAAGCTAAGGAGAAACCACTTTATTTTATGTTAACCGGGGTTTTCTTCAGATGACCCATGGAACCTCAGCTGTGAAAAAACGTAACTTTGAAAATGAAAACAGTTGCTCTAAGGAACTTTGCCCACACTCCTAGCACTTGGAATTTGCCCTAGGGAGCTTGTTTTTTGTGCGTGCGTGCGTGCGTGCGTGCGTGCATGTGTGTGGTTTTTTTTTAAGGTTTTACCACATGAAAGTAAACTCTTGACTTACGAGAGTTAAGCTTCTGCTTTTCTTACTACTCTTCCTTGCTGTTTCTGACAGGTAAATGGCCACGACCTGAAGAACCTGCTGCACCAGGATGCTGTAGACCTCTTCCGTAACGCGGGCTACGCTGTGTCCCTGAGGGTACAGCACAGGGTCGGTGTCCCTTGCAGCCAGATCCTTTGTACCAGGTTTTTCCGCGTGCTTGGGAGTAAACCCGTGGGTGTGTTTTGTTTGGTTTTGGTTTTGGTTTTTACTGGCACTGCTTTGAAGAGCTTGTCCTTGGGTGGTTGGGGAATTGGCCTCACCTAAAAACTGTGTCTTCTTGTTGGGCGTATTCTGTCAGGACAGCTCATCAGGAAGTAAATGGAGGTGGTATAGAGGGTGTAAAAGGTGTTCGTGGGGTCTTACCTTTCAGATGGTGGGTCAGAACTTCATAGATTATAACCGGGAGGTTAAATCTAACCGAAACAAGATGCCACAGTAATTACTGCAGGTAGCCATTAACAATTAATGTGAAGAAGGGCCATCTTTGGCAAAGATGACCAAAATAGACAAAGCAGCCTCAAAGGGAAATACGTAGGCCATAGAAAATGATAATGATGGTGTAGTTGATTTATTTACCTCGGAGACTTTATCTTTGTCTAGCACTATAAATTAGGACGTGAAGGCCAAGACCCCACTTTGGATGGAGGGAGTACATCCTGAGAATTGGAAAGCCTTTCCAAATAGTGGCAGGTACCTGTGCTGACAATGCCTAGATCTGCTGTGACTGCATTCTGATGGCAGATAATCTTTGTAAGCAAAGTTTCCCGGAGATTTCTTCCTTCCTCTCCCTTCCCCTGCTCAGGAGTACCTGTCTTCCACACAGAATCTGTAGCTTTCATCTCATATTTTTATTTTCCCGGCATGAAACACACATAGGGAAGGGCAGGCAGTACACACAAACAGGAAACTTGCCCTCCCCTGGCCCTGCTCGGTCAGTAGGACAGCAAGGTTAAGGGCCTCCCCATCAGATCTATTTTCTTCCCAGAGAGAGTGTGACTCTGATGCACCAGCTCAGTACAAAGAGAGAATTCCTCTGCTACCTTTGTGTGGCCTACAGACCTCAGCCCCAGGTGATGCATCAGCCTGGACATCTCAGTTGCGATAAATACACAGGAGTCACAAGAGTTAACATTTTTCTTTCCCTTCCAGTTACAGGTGCAGAATGGACCTACCGGCCATCGAGGTGAAGGGGAGCCAAGTGGTCTTCCCATAGCTATGGTGCTGCTGCCAGTGTTTGCCCTCACCGTAGTAGCCGCCTGGGCCTTCATGAGATACCGGCAACAGCTTTGAAGGGCGTGCTCTCACCCAGCTCCCAGTGAACTTAACGTTTCTCTTGCCTTCCTTCCCTGCCATCCTCCCATATCTTTCCTTCTCTCTAGGTAGCCAAAATATGATTTGAAGTGAATGATTCCCACCATGAACTTTGCTGTTCAAAATCCCCAAGTCTTCGTATTCTAATGAGAGAGTAAAGGTATTGTTTGAAGGGAAGCTGAAGAAAAGACTTGCTCAGAACAAGTGACCAGGACTGCCAATAGAAATTCAGCTACTGCCCAAAGAGGGAAAAGTCCAGTCTTCCTGTCACCATGGGTGATACCTTTTTTCTTACCTGGCATACCTTGAAAGCCAGCTGTAAGACATGAGAGGAAGAGGGGATTTTTCTTTTAATGATCTTCCTTGAGAAGTGTTTGTGGCCTTTATTTAAATAATTTCTAATCACATACGTGGGTGCCTGTTTTGGACACAGGATATTGAGAAGAGCTTTTTACTTTTTTAAAGAAGCAAATACATATATATATACAGTACATATACATGTGCATATGTGGTAGTATAATAATACTGATGTCTTGGGGAGAATTAAAGAGGTAAGAAAGCTACTCTGCGGTTTCTAGGTTTCTGATCTGAGGGATGATTTTAACTGAAGGATATAAAGAACTATTTGTAGACCGTATATAGTGGGAACGAGAGAGTGAACTTTAAAAGCTAATGCCCAGTCAGAGGCATTAAAAAAACAAGCGGCCAAATTGAAAATTGTAGAACAATATTTGTTTTCAGAACAGCTGTGGTGAAATTGAGGTGCAGTGCCATCAAGCAGCTCTGCTTTAGTAAATGTTTAAAAAAAAAAAGAAACAACTCTGAGGTTTAAAGATAAGTCATACCACTACCTCTGGGCTTCCGTCGTGACTTGTTGGTACCCCACAATGCATTAAAGCATCAGCTGGGATGACTGTGATCAGGCTTGAGCAATGAGGTCTTGTTGGTTAATAGTAAGACAACTCCAAAGGAACAGGAGATCGTGCATCAGTTGTATTATCTGAATGCTCCCAGACTATCTGTCAGTGTTTCTGGTTTCTAGTAGCAGGCAAAACCTGAAAGAAGGCATAAAATCAGCTCTGTTCTGGTTTAATTAAGGTCTAGACTGCTAGTTTGTTTGTTGTTTTTTTTTTTTTAAATGGCTTTTAATAAGTTAAAAAACTATTTTTCAGGGAAAGGGAAAAAAATTAATTTTGTTCGGTGAGTGTTTCCTGGGGAGAGCCTGAGAGCAGAGCATGGGTGAATGGAAGCTGCTGAGTGCCAGGGATATTGGTGAAGTGGGAACCGTCCTGTCTGCGTGGTATTTAAGTTAGTTTTAACGCACTGGGGATAGCTAAGCCGAGGCTAATTGCTGGCTTTCATTTCCATTTCCCAGACAGCTGGCCAGACTGTAGGCTTTATATCATTTTGAATAAGATTATGAGAACTTTTCTTTAGATAATCAATTATATCCAATTTTAGCAATCACAGTCTAGCAGTCATTTAGGAAATGGTGATTGGATGTCAGCTTTGGCAAGACTCTTTTACAAAGAAGTAAAATATGTAACCCTCATCATCCTGAAGGGTTTTTTGACTCAACTAGGAAGAAAACACTTAAAATAAGAGTAGTCACATAAGTAGGGCTGTGTAAGTTGGTGTCGAGTTTGTACTGCTGACTCTTAAGGGAGAAAAGTTACAAGAATTGGGGCAGTTCAGAAAGTTCTCATGGAGAAGGGGAACAAGCTAAGGACCCTTGAGGAGCTGACAGTCTAGTTAACGCGACTTGATAAATAGCTGAAACGTTAAGGGAACTGTATATCATCGGTTAAGTAACCGTTAAGAAAAAGTTACCATGCAGAGCACGATGCAGAACAGAGATGTGCAGATGACCGTCACTGTGCTTTTTAGAAATTCAGAAAAGGAAAGCTGTCACAAGGGCATCAGGCTAGAGTGGAAAGGTATGGCATTTAAAAATACAGGATCCTTGCCTCTGGGGCAACTACCGATACAGGGAGAACCTTGCTATAAACAATCCTGGCATAGCTTTTGCCTTTCAACCTGAACGGTTTGGTACTTTTTGAGGCTCCTTCGGATAACCAGCCTCATTGTGGGTTCCACAGGGAAACACCCACAGTATTCCAGCTTTCATCTCCCTGCTCTGGAGGCCTAACCTCTGTGCCCTCCCTGTATGCGATTCCATGTTCAGCAGCTGCCGTGGGCCTGCCGACCTCCCAGGGTTCCCCTCAAGCCTTTGACATTAACCCTTGAAAGAACTTGTGACATACAAAATGTAGCAAATGGCAAGTAGAAAAGAAAACAGTTTAGATTGTTTTTGTGTATTTGTGTACAAATACACACCTAGCCCATCATTGGTAGTTTTGCTTTCTGTTGCACCTAAATTTAGGTTTTCTTGGAAGTAAAACAGCTTTAAAAAACCAAACATTGTAAAATCTTATGCAAGAAGGCTATTCATTATATTGATTATATGGAAAGCCAAAATTATTATGATAGATGAGGTATCAATCCATTATAGCTTATAAAAAAAAGTTCGTGTTGTATATAGACTAACTCTAATATTTTTACCACCTAAATTAGTGTTGAAAGTTTTGAAAATTAAATATAGGTATTTTCAAGACCCTATATTTAAATCATTTCTCTATATTTGTCTTATATATAATACATACTATTCTAGTAAGATGTTCCTTGTTTCAATCATCATTATTTCCTTTTACTGCAAAGTTTTAACTTCTGTGTGAATAGTTTCATGTAATTAATTGAAACACCTCGCCATGTATAATGGAAAAAGTTTTATTTGTTATTGCATTCTATGCCAGGGTCTGTACCAAGCTTTAATTAGTATATGCTGTTTGTTCATGTATCACAACTCTGAGATCTAAGCATTGTTATAGAGACTAAAGATTAGAAAGTAAATTGCTTTCCTAAGATTTTATACGTGGTAATAATAGAAACAAGATTTAAACTCAGGACTTTAGGTGCTAGCATCAATGATATTTCCTCAGTACCAGTGGTTCTCAAAGGAGGTGTCTGGACAATAGCATCAGCATTACCCGGGAACTTGTTAGGAAGCAAATTCTCCAGCTCCGTCTCAGACATACTGAGTCAGAAACACTGCACCCAGCAGTGCTGGAACCCAGCAATCCTTTTCAGAATTCCTCCTGGTGACTGATTCATGCTAACGTTTAAGATCCACCACTCTGTGTTAGTAGTTCCCCCATTTCTCAGGTTAGTATCACATTAATTGCTTGTAAAACTCCTTATGACCAGGCTGCCCCTCAGGCCAAATGGGAATCTGTGGGTCTGAGACTCAGGTAGCACTAAAATAAATTTCATCAAGTGATTCCACTGTACAGCTTTCATTAAAAATGTTCTTTGGCATTTGAACCTAGATATTGTTTAAGTTATTGAATTACAGACATTGCTCCAGCCAAGATCAAGAATTTCATTTGAGCAATAATAGGGCCTAGCTTTTTGAGCTTCTGCCCCATGTACAGACATGGAGTAAGAACTGGAGCATTTTTTTGCCCCTGATGTGCTAAGAACAGAGTATCAACCTCCAAAAGAATTCATGATTGGTGTCTCAGCTTGTACATCTATTAAGAACCAAACTTAGGATAGTGAAGCTACAAGGGAACCAGAAAGGCTCTAGGATGACTATTTTAGAGGTGAGAAAATCAAAGCTCAGAGAGGTGAGCTAACTTGCTTAGTCAGACTTGGACTGTTGCAGATGTACCTTTTTCTGTTGAGATGTATCTTTTCATCTCTGTTTTGAATGTTTCCACTAGATGAATGCCCACGAAGCTATACTTTTTATCCCAGTACATTTTCATCTTCTTTCTTGGGCTTTGAAGAAAGACCAGAATTGATAAAAGGACATTGCAAGCATTGATTGGAATGGGAGATTTCATGTACCAATCTGTGAAAGACCTGATATTCAGTCAGATCAGTTCTTTCAGTTCCCATGGTATGTTTTGGGTCTTGGGTGTTCTTTTTATCATGTAAATAAGCAATTTAAAAATATATTTTAGTTTGGGGCCACCCTGGGCTACATAGTGAGACCCTGTCTGAAAAAACAGCAAAATTATATGGATATAAATTTGAAGAAATGAGACAAGAAACTATAGACTGTCAAGAATATGGGGAAGTAGAATCGATGTAGTTTCTGTAGAGCCAGTAAAGATTTTATTCTAGCTGCTTTTAATAGAAAGTTTTCTTCGGACAGATGAGAACTTTTTTCCTTCAGCATGAGTGCCAGCCACGTGCTAGGTTCTGAATAGAGAAAGATAAATAAAATATAATTGCTCTAGGCTGAAGTTGTTCAGCACATGTAAATGGAGGATCTTGATGCTAAAGTATATTTTTATAACATCACCTAGAAGCAGACCCTTGAATTCTGAAGCTCTCTACCTCTCACAGTAAGTTTAGAGTGGGCTCTTTTCCCAGGGTAAGACCTTTTTTCTATTCCTCTTTTAACCCCAAATCTTTTTGAGACCAGCATTCACATCCAAAAGATCAGTTATCTAAAGGAGGACAGTATTTTAAGGAATTCAGTTCTGATTGGAACCAGATTAACTGCCATATTCTCTTAGGTTTATTTGTACACTACAAAGCATGTGATCTACACCTGATGCACTTGATAAAAACCTATATTATAACATGGCATTGCTGCTTGTAAGAAATGAACTTATAGCAAACACTATAGCCTGTTACAAAAAGCTTTCCTCACTGTTAATATTCTGTTTTTCAAGAGGGAGGGTAGGTTTATTTACACAGACACACACACACACACAAAACACCTTTGTAAATTTATTGAGTAATCCCACGAAATTGAGATGATCCTTCTTCCTAGTTTGCAGATTTGCAAATGAAGACACAGAAGTGAATCTCATTTTAATGCTGTATCTACAATGCTGATTTGAATGAGTTTCGTATTACTGACATGTATTTTACCTTCAGTCTGTGTTAGTTGTTATAAGAATATTTTCTTTGTGAACTTTATTTTGTTTTGTTTCCTTTCTACCTGATTCTCATGTCAGCTTACATCCCAAGACATAAATAGAAGTCCATTTCTCAGATCATATAGGTGCCCAATGACAATGTGGAAAACATGTGGACATAAAACTGTATTATTTAGGAAATATCACTACAGATTAAGTATGTTAATGGGGCTGTCAAAAGCTATGATAGGGGCTGGGGATTTAGCTCAGCGGCACAGTGCCTGCCTGGCAAGCACAAGGTCGTGAGTTTGACTCCCAGTACTGGAAAAAAAAAAGCTATGATAACCTGAAATTTTGCCATTTGAGCAGATAGAGTAAGTGAGATAATGTATCTAACTGTGCCTTGTACTGTGGCATTCAATAAAATCTTGTTGAATTTGTCATTGAATTTTTATAATCTTTTTTCATTTTATCTTGAAGATTGTTGAATAAATATCTTGTTTTTCTGCCAACTTCTTGGAGTAACCCCTAAAAAAACCATGGAAAGATGAAATCTAAATCACTTTGAAGCTTAGCTTTGACCTAGGAGATAAGGAATATGATACTGATGTCCTGCTAATAATAAAATTGGCAATTACTAAGCTTTTATCAGTAGTCTGGCTGCTGTTCACAACCCTTCACATTTAAGTTTTGCAACAACTCTAAGGTAGCTGCTGTTAGCCCCATTTTACAGATGAGGTACACATAGAGAGTTTAAGTAACTTGCCCAGATCATACAGCTAGTAAGTGTCAGAACTGGGATTTAAACCTAGGCAGTGTGCTTTTAGGACCTGAATACATAAACCAGAACACTATACTTTCTTCTCTCCATGGTTCAACATACTGCATTGCGCTGCCCTTTGGATAACCAATGTCAGATTCTTACAACTATACAAGGCAGTATCAATAGTCTCATTTTTATAGATGAGTTAACTTCACTGTTAAATTAGTGACTTGCTCAAGACACAGCTAGTCGGTGCCAGAACTGGGAATTTACTTCAAACCAATGAGAAATCCATTTATCCTATAGCAGTGATGGCGAACCTTTTAGAACTTTCAATAATACGGCCAGTGCTGCAGCTCATACGCCATAGGTTCACCACCACTGCCCTGTAGCTTATAGCCCATAAAAAATAATAGGACAATAGATGGCTATATTCTAAAACAGGAATATTTGTAATCACTATCATAAGAGAAACGTGCACAGGAGAAACATCCAGTTTTCTAGCTGAATACTGGGAAATTCTGTTGATTTCAAATTGGGTTGAGCTGGAAACAGGTTCTCAGTTACTCTAATTTTAGCTATACAAATTTGATAGAATAGAGAGGAGGACCAAAGTAAAACAGGATTTTGATCATGAGAGGTTAGGAAACCATTCAGTAGGACTCCACATTTCTGGAAATGTGCTGGAAATTATCCATACTGTCATAAAGTTTGATGCCAAAGTGAAAGTGGTGTTTATCTGAGGAAGTTCATAGACCAGCAGATCAGCAGCACCTTGAAGTGCGTTATGAAAGCAGGTTTTTCAGCCCCAATCTCTGACCAACTGAGTCAGAAACCCCAGTGACAGGGCCCAGGAGTCTCCATGTAAATAGTTCTCTAGGAGATTCTGAAGCACGAAGGACTAAAGACGATAACAAAAGTCTGAGCTGGAGTAGATCTATAGAAGCCACAGAATTGAATTTCAAGGAGATAGTCAATATTACTGAATTCTGGCTGGGTGTGGTGGTGCACCCCTGTAACCCCAGCACACGGGAGGATCACCAAGAGTTTGAGGGCAGCCTGGGCTCCATAGTGAATTCAAAACTAGCCTGAACTACATAGTGAGGCCCTGTCAAAAAATTTTTTTTACCAAATTCTACAGGAAGTTCAGTTCTATTGGGGCTATGACCTTCCACCTTTCTGTTGCAGTCCTCACATTTGCAAATTCTCTCTTCCAAGTCAAGTGGAGAAATAGGGGGGTGAGAGAAGGGATTAGCAAATTGTTTTAATAAACCTTGACCTGATTGCTTCAAAGTCTCCCTTGGATCAATGGATCAATGCAGATGATGCTCCGCTCCCATTTTCAACTTCAAACTCTGAAATATTCTTAAGCATTCTATTTTCATCTTGCTTATATGCTAGTCAGAGTGATAATGACTCTATATGCTAAATAATCCAGTGTGGCAATATTCTGTCATATGTATCAGAGGCTACTGGAGCTCTGAGGGGGGAATAATTTACATTGCCTGTACAAATAAAAGGGCTACACAAACTGGTTTCCAGGAGCTGCTTAACGAAGAGGAGATTCGTGAAATACTCAAGGAATGGTATTTTTTCCAGGATGGAATATGGAGTGAACAGTGGCAAAAAGGCAACAGTCGTGTAAGTGCCACACGCTGATCGAGCCACTGGAGCTCCACTAAAGTCATAAAGAATCTCAAACCTTGCTAACAGTGCATACTGTAAGAATCAGGGAATCTCATCATTATTTATGTCTTCTGATAGTGTAGATTGATTTAAGAACCGCTGTTTTGTTTTTTAATTTGACCCTATAGTCTTACAGGCATGGGGGTCATTGGAGCAGCATAAAAGATCTGAAGTTTCCCCCGCAAAGACCACTTAGAGAGCTAGTTTAATAAGTGGGAAGAGGATAACCAGGAACATTTCAGTGGTACTGGAGAGACAGGAACAGATGGGAAGATTTCAGGTATAGAATAGGAGGCGTTACTCTGTCATCTGCACAATAGGTGAAACTTTCTGATCCACTCTGGCGAAGGGAAGCCCTGGGGACTTTGTTCCTTAAGCTCTCACAGTATTTTTGGCGTGTGCTGGTGTGCCTGTTAGATCGCCAGTTTCTTTAAAGCAAGAGTGTCGTCTTCTATGTTCCTAGTCTTCCAGAAAGATCGTAGCAAAAAGTTCTATGATTTTTGAACCGTGTAAAATAGGCTTTCATAAATGACAAGATTACAGGCAATCATACAGTGAAATGTTAGCATTAAAGATTCGGTAATAAGTAAAACACAACACTGGTTACATCCAGTCTAAGTTTTCTGACGACTGACTTTTGAAATGCCTTATTAAACCGGTAAATTTTCCCAACCAACAAGCAGGCATAAAGACCAGAGGGTCAGCTTCAGAATACCGCTCCCCCAACCTGAGTTTATTGCGTAGCCATATGCCAGGGAGTGTTCTAAGAAAACATAGTCAAGACTCAGCATACGCCAGATGCTGGCTTCCATATCAGTTTGATAGTGACAGCAAACCGCATTCCAGCCCTTTAAATCCAGCTGCACACCGGCCTCCCGGAACTAAATATATGTGGCCTCCGTATCTGGGCGGACGAGGGAGGGTGTAACCATGAATCGATTGTTTCTGCCTGGCGGAGGCTTATCAGGGGAGGACTCGGCGCCGCACAGCCAGGAAAAGGAGGCGAGTGGGAAGTCACTGATTGTAGGGCGCAGTGAGTCGGCTTGGAGAGACTGGAAGAGGGCCGAGGTTTTAGTTATGTTCACACCCGCGGTGATGCGAGCTTTACGCAAGAACAAGACCCTTCGATACGGGGTCCCCATGTTGGTGAGTGCAGTTTTTTATTTTCCTTAAA